CGTCCCTTGGGTTTGCAGGCCATAGAATAGCTTAGGGATAATGTGATTTTGAGGATTGCGAACTTCTGGTCCGGCTTAAGAGGGATCTCTTAAGATTGGCCAGCCAGGTCGGTAGATTAGCGAGGGAAGGGCGCATTAGTCCTTTGACGGACGCTTCATGGCCAAGATAACGGAAGCTGTTGACCTCCGTCACCATGGCCACGCGGCGTCCATCCAATCGTAAGTTGTAATCTTTCCTAGGCGCCAGGACACCCCTCGCCAATCCCACGACCATGGCTGAGCACTTTTTAGGGTTTAGTGCCATGCCTTTGGACTTCGCGAACTCAACAATCTCATCGAGGACCAGAGGGATATCTCCTCCCGATCCTCGAGCAAGACTATGTCGTCCGCAAACGCCATGGCAGACCCCTCACCCCAGGCAATATTGTTCCGCCTCGCTCCCCATTATTAAGCCCGGCCAGAAGCTCATCAATCACTAGATTGAAAAGTAGCGGACTCAGCGGATCCCCTTGCTTTACACCGCAGCTAAACCCAATGTCCCTCGTCGTTTCCTGCCCCACCCGAATCTGTGTCACAGAGGTTGCCAAGTTTGTCGCAACGTAACGTATGGAACGCTCGTCCACCCCAAACCGTCTGAGAGCTCCCACAACGCTCCCATGTCCAACAGTGTCAAAGGCCTTCCGCAAATCGAGTGAAGCGACCGCGTACTTTATTGGAGGACACCCTATTCCGAATGTATGAGTGTAGAATCATACAATTCGCGAGAGTGCCGTCCAGCGTACTAAATCCGCGTTGATTGGCTTCCAGGGCGACGACCTTCCGCAAGCGGTTAGCCATCGCCCTGTGCATCAGTCGCTGGAGGGCACTCCCGATAGTAAGGGGCCTCCAATTCGCCGCCTCGCTCCGTTGGCCGTCTTTATATATAATTGTGGTCCTAGACCGCAGGAAGATGGCAGGGTGCACGTTTCTCATAAGGATTATTGAATATAAAACACATAGCACCCTGTTGTTCGTATTTTTAACCGATGCCACCGTTATCCCGTCAGCACCAGGTGCTGAGTTAGCCCATGCTGTTTTGGCTGCCTCTAGTTCGCTTTCTTCGAATGGAGCGAAAGTGGTGGCATCGGTGTTTCGTGGTTCGGGATGAACCGTCATCGTCTCCGTCGCAGCCCGCTCGAAGATCCCGCTATACAGCTCCTCAACCGCTTTTAGAGGTGGTACCTCTTCAGTAGAGTCTAGTGGAGTTCCTGAAATGATTTTATCCACTAGAGCTGATCTGTTACGGAGGTAGAGATCCTGGGCCTTTTTGTATGATTCTACCCGTGGACCTCTTCCTGGTCTAGTACCTCCGTAATTTGATTTTGGTCCACCTCTGTGACCATTTGGGTTGTATTTCCTTCCCCCTTTTTGGAAATGTTCTATTATCCAATTGTCTAGATAGGAGGCAAGATCATTAACCGCAAGCGATGATCCTGCCTGGCACAGGTCCGCCAGATGGCCGTTCCCATTGGCCAGCGCTGCTTCGCGTTCAGACGCGAGGTATTCGCGCAGCGCTGGTTCAATGACCACCTGGGTTTGTTCGACCTGTGCGGGGGAGTTGGCGGTGAGGTTGACTGCATCGGTGCGGGGTCTCCTTACTGTAGGCTGCGACAGAGGCGACATCGATTCATTCCGAATCCTCTTCCTGCTTGTCATCGGATCTGGAGTGATTGGCGATAGTGCGGACGCAACCGCGGAGGAGCACTCACCCTCTTTTACATCGTCGCGAGCTGTTGGTGGCGTCGATGTCGCTGCCTGATGGTCGATCTTCTCGTTCGTTGGGCAGGTGGGCGGCTCACAGGGCACACTGGGAGAAGGGATTGGTTGCTGTTTCTTCCTAGCGGCATCGAGGTATTGCTTATAGATGGGTTTATCTCTTCGATGCCGTATTTGGTCCTTCGTCAGACCTGATTCGGCAACCATTTTCGCCATAAAGGGCCTTTATGTGACTGGATCTCGATGTTTGCCAGTATATCATAGATTTCGGAATCAGGCCTTCGTAGTTCCCTCCTCCTGCTGTCGTTTTCTGCTTCGGGGTGTGCCCTCTGCTCGTGAAGCCGCACCCCTGTGTATGTAGTAAAACCTGCTTTGCAATATTGGCATTTAGTTCGATCGCGCTTGCCACATGTTAGGAGATGTTTGTTGAGGCCACTTTTTGTCTCATAGGGCCTCTCGCATATTTGACACCTGTATGGTGCTGCATTGGCAGGCTGCAGGGTCACCGTATTACTGGGCCCTGGTATTGGAGAAACGGTATTCGAGCCTGCCAATTTGGTTCCGGTGGCTGTTGGGCCACCGGCAGTCGATTTTCCACCCGCTGGAGGGGATTTAACTGGTTCCCCCTCATTTATATCGAATTTCCTCTTGCGGGTGGGGTGACGTGACGTCATGTCACGTGTTCTAACTCTCTCTGCCGCAACAGCGGTTTTAAATGTCTTCCTCTTGGAATCCGCCATTGCGCATGCGCCGCCGCCGTTGAGTGTCTTTGGGTAGGTTAAAGCACTGTCCTTTCCGCGTATGGGAGTGAAGACCGTTTGCCGCTACGTGGTCTGGTTCCGGAGATATCGCGTGTGAAAGATTTTATCTCCGGAACTACCTCCTCCCAGCTCCTGGTCTCCTGATACCTGGCCGCACTTAATACGGCCAGTACGGCGTTACTGTCGAGTTATGGAGCTGAGATTTGGTGTGTGTCCTTGGGGCCGGTAGATGATTTGATTGGACGCCTTTTTGGCCCCGTCGGACACGATGTACTTGCCAAAAGGGCACTAGCGGCTTGACGCCGGAAACCGGCGTTGCGGGGGGCAATCGAGCTGGTGTGATATTCTATTAGATGCGCGATGCCCCAAAGACAATATGGGGCCCGCGCTGTCGTGCGATTCTAACCTTTATTGTAAGATTTCTAGGTTAGAATCGCGTTGTTTCTTAATTTTCCTTTTTGATACCAGCCCTTGCACTCACCCCGCTGTCTCACTCCCACGCACTAACCCGTCACTGCACGTGTGCTGCCCGTTATTGAGGGCGCCGCGACGCGGTAGAGATTTCTTGATGCGTTTATAAAAATCGCGTTGTGTCGCACACACGTGCACACTCCTCAGCGGCGGAGAAGAGAGTCATAGTTACTCCCGCCGTTTACCCGCGCTTGCTTGAATTTCTTCACGTTGACATTCAGAGCACTGGGCAGAAATCACATTGAGTCAACACCCGCAGGGGCCATCTCAATGCTTTGTTTTAATTAGACAGTCGGATTCCCCCGGTCCGTGCCAGTTCTGAGCTGACCGTTGAATGGCGGCCGAAGAGGACACCAGAACGCCCTTGCGAGCGCACTCTGGGCCTCGCAGCAAGACGGTTCCGCGGGAGGCCAAGGCACGGTACCGAGTTCGGATCCGCAATCCTACCGCACACGCGCGAACGCATACGACAGAACGTTTCACCTCGCCCAGGCCCGGCACGTCAGCCGCGACCCGCTTCCTCGCCAAGCCCGACACGCCCCGATCCTCAGAGCCAATCCTTATCCCGAAGTTACGGATCCAATTTGCCGACTTCCCTTACCTACATTATTCTATCGACTAGAGGCTCTTCACCTTGGAGACCTGCTGCGGATATGGGTACGAACCGGCGCGACACCTCCACGTGGCCCTCTCCCGAATTTTCAAGGTCCGAGGGGAAGACCAGGACACCGCTGCAACTGCGGTGCTCTTCGCATTCCAAACCATATCTCCCTGCTAGAGGATTCCATGGAACTCGAATGCTTATGCAGAAAAGAAAACTCTTCCCTGGTCTCCCGACGGCGTCTTCGGGTCTTTTTGGGTTACCCCGACGAACTCTCTTGCGAGGGCCCGACTATTGTACGGTTCCGCTGCCGGGTTTCGGAATAGGAACCGAATTCCCTTTCGCCCGACGGGCGTGTTCTTTATATATACACACATACATACATATATTTATAAAACAACGCCACATCAACATCGGCTTTCGCCTAGGGCTTAGGATCGACTGACTCGTGTGCAACGGCTGTTCACACGAAACCCTTCTCCACGTCAGTCCTCCAGGGCCTCGCTGGAGTATTTGCTACTACCACCAAGATCTGCACCGACGGCGGCTCCAGACGGCCTCACGGCCAGCCCTTCTGCGCGCACCGCCGCGACCCTCCTACTCGTCAGAGCTTCATGGCCGATCCGTTTTTACGCGGATCGAGACCGCACATGCCGCTGACGGCCGAGTATAAGCACGACGCTTCAGCGCCATCCATTTTCAGGGCTAGTAACTTCGGCAGGTGAGTTGTTACACACTCCTTGGCGGATTCCGACTTCCATGGCCACCGTCCTGCTGTCTTAAGTTACCAACGCCTTTCATGGTATCCCATAAGCGTCGATTTAGGCGCTTTAACTCGACGTTTGGTTCATCCCACAGCGCCAGTTCTGCTTACCAAAAATGGCCCACTTGGCACTCTGATTCGATTCTCGCAGCTTCATTAGTTCGAGCAAGCCGGAGATCTCACCCATTTAAAGTTTGAGAATAGGTTGAGGTCGTTTCGACCCCAATGCCTCTAATCATTCGCTTTACCGGATGAAACTCGTCACAGACGAGCGCCAGCTATCCTGAGGGAAACTTCGGAGGGAACCAGCTACTAGATGGTTCGATTAGTCTTTCGCCCCTATACCCAGTTCCGACGATCGATTTGCACGTCAGAATCGCTACGGACCTCCATCAGGGTTTCCCCTGACTTCGTCCTGACCAGGCATAGTTCACCATCTTTCGGGTCCCAGCGTGTACGCTCTTGGTGCGCCTCTTCTCGTAATGAGAACGAGACGCCCCGGGAGTGCGGAGCGGCCGCTTTATAGACGTGCCGCCCATCTTCCCTAAATCCGCGCTAGGCGGATCTTTACTTTCATTGCGCCTTTAGGTTTAGTTATGTCCCAATGACTCGCGCACATGCTAGACTCCTTGGTCCGTGTTTCAAGACGGGTCCTGAAATTACCCAAAGCTATAGCGTCGCAGATCGGCGTTTCAAACGAGGTCTGTCCGAGAAATCCGCACGACCAACAGTCGTCCGGGGACGGAACCGGGCGCTAGGTCCGATCGCCGTCTTAGCATCGAACGTGCTTGTCGTGGGTCGGACGCTAATTGAAGAAGTAGCGGCCTCGCGCCATCTGTATACCGTCGAGCGAGTCGGCCGGAACATCGCGGGTTCGAGCACGAATCGCCGAAACGATCGTACACGGACTCCACCGCGAGCCGTAGACCGACACCCAACGGATCGCGACGTCCTACTAGGGGAAAAGTGCACGCGTTCGACGCCGGATCGAAAAGCGAAAGGCGCGGACGACGCGCGAACGCCGTCCGTCGCGCGACCGCTCATCGCCGACGGCCGACGCGAACGCGAATGAATTTCCCCTTTCGACCTTTCGGGTTTCTCAGGTTTACCCCTGAACGGTTTCACGTACTCTTGAACTCTCTCTTCAAAGTGCTTTTCAACTTTCCCTCACGGTACTTGTTCGCTATCGGTCTCGTGGTCATATTTAGCCTTAGATGGAGTTTACCACCCACTTAGGGCTGCACTCTCAAGCAACCCGACTCTGAGGAGAGATCCTCCCGCGATCGGCAGCGGCCACTACGGGCCTGGCACCCTCTATGGGCTGTGGCCCCGTTCAAGAAGGACTTGGACTCGCCGCGCGACCTCGGGATAAACGGATCCTCCCTAACACCACATTTCCCGGCGCCCGATATCGACCGCGGGATTCGGTGCTGGGCTTTTCCCTGTTCGCTCGCAGCTACTGAGGGAATCCTAGTTAGTTTCTTTTCCTCCGCTTAGTAATATGCTTAAATTCAGCGGGTAGTCTCACCTGCTCTGAGGTCGGTTAACAATATACAACACAACACCACACACAGATATATATGTCACACGCGATCGCTAATACTAAATCGTATAGCTGCTGCTGCTATACTACTACTAGTCGAAAGCGTTCTCTAGTGTTTAGCGCGTATATGCGATCAGACGTCGTTATCTCGAAAAAAATAATTTCTCTCTCGGACACGACGATCGCAGCGCAAGTTCGAAACGCGTAACGACTACAGCATATATACATATATATATATATATATATTATATGTAGTGCTATTACGATTTTTATCCGTACAGCGCGCGTGTTCGTTCTATGTGTGAGTTTACGATTCGTTCGTATGACGAACGAATCGTCGCTTTCGCGTTTTGAGATGCCGCGACGACGACAAAGACGACGACGTTTACGATATTACATAAATAAATATATAATAACTAGCGTCGTCGCGTCGTACCGCCGCGTCTACATCCAACACGCTCCGACGTTTCATTCTCCTCTCTCATGTCGTCGTCGTCGTCGTCGTCTCTCGGATAAAGAGATAATACGACGACGCGAACAGAGATCGGAGAGGAAACCGAGCAGTCTTTTAAATTGATACGACCCTCAGCCAGGAGTGGTCCGGGAACAGTATCCGAGGACCGCAATGTGCGTTCGAAATGTCGATGTTCATGTGTCCTGCAGTTCACAAGTTGACGCGCAATTAGCTGCGTTCTTCATCGACCCACGAGCCAAGTGATTCACCGTTCAGGGTAATCGTTTTTTAATTAGACGATCTCTATATATATAAAATATATATCGATACGTCTTTATTGTTATGATAATGGCTAATGTTATTAAAGAAAATATATAAAAAAAAGAAAGCGCGCATTTCTCACGGAGACTTCGTGTATTTTGCGCGGCAAACGCGCAAAATTTTTTTGCGCGTTTATAACAAACGAGCGTGCCGACGAAGTCTCTCGTGTACGCGCGCATTCTATCCGTATCGCGCTTCTATAGCATACGCGTGTGCAAGGGGTACAAATAACACTACAACAGAGTTGTACATAACATGAATATATATGTATGTATTAAGCGTACAACACGTGTCGTCCTCTT